CCCCCAAACCCCAAAACCCCAAAACCCCGTTATAATAATCACAAGAATATTAGTAAAAGACAATATTAATTTATAAATTTAATGATAACCACCTCTTTGCAAAAACTAAACGCTACTTATTCAATTTTTGGAAAGCAAGCTAAGCGTCAATTTTCTATAGCAACCTCTTGTGGTATAGTTGGATACCCTAATATTGGAAAATCAACATTATTCAATGCAATGACAAGAACTCAGATGGCATAAGCTAAGAATTATCCATTCTGCACAATTGATCCAAATGTAGCGAAGGTGGCAGTCTTTGATAAAAATGTTAGAGCATTACAAAAGGCTTGCTAACCTGAAAAGACTACCCCTGCCTAGATAGAAATGTGGGATATTGCAGGACTAATTAAAGGTGCAAGTGAAGGAGCAGGTAATATTTAGATTTTATTTAAGGGAATTTTAGGATTGGGAAATAAATTTTTAGCAAATATTAGAAGTGTTTCATCTATTGTTCATTTAGTTAGGTGCTTCAGTGATATCAATGTTATTCATGTTGTATGAAAATTTATTTCTTAATAACAACATAAAGGAAGATGTGACTAATCTCGATCCAATTTCAGAAATGGAAAATGTATAAACTGAGTTGATTTTATCAGATCTTGAAATATGCCACAAGAAAAAAACAAAAGTATGATTTTATTAGTAATTACTTGAAAGAAAAACATGACTACTAAAGAGTAAAATATTTGGGATAGAGTATTTAAATCACTTGATAATGGAGAGCCAGTCAGATCAATAAATTTTGTGCATGACGAAGTAGCTATAGTTAGATAATTGCCTTTGATCACAGCAAAACCTATAGTTTATGCTTGCAATATTGATGTTGACTCTGCTTAAAAAGGAACAAATGAATTGGCTGAGAAATTCAAAGCATACGTAAACAATAAGTATCCGAATGTACCAGTTGTGATATTATCAGCTTTACTTGAAAGTGATATTGTTTAAATGAGAAACGATGATGGGGAAGAATCAGCTAAAGAATTTATGTCTGCCTATGGAATGGAGGAAAGCTAATTAGATTTGCTTTTAGAATAATGTAGTGATATATTGTCACTGTAAAAGTTCTACACTGCTGGCCCAACTTAAGTCAGCTCATGGTTCATTGAAAAAGGGTCAACTGCCCCTTAAGCAGCTGGCAAAATTCACTCATCCTTTGAAACCAAGTTTATTTGTGCAGAAATTTGTAAGGTTGAAGATTATGAGAAACATGAAACTGAAGAACAAATCAGAATAAAAGGAAAAATGAATAAATTCGGGAAAGACTATGTAATGCAATAAAATGATGTAGTTTTTTTTCATCATAGTGCTAAATGATTACCAAAAACTTAATTAATCTTTATTTCTTAAAGCCATTCAAATACCAATAATATTATTAGTGGGGTTTTGGGGTTTTGGGG